TGGCGCATATTCATAGTCATATTTAGTTCACAACTAAGGCGAAATTATCCTCTATTCTAACAGAGTCACAAAACTTAGCTCATCACTGTTGTGATTTCAAGTGCGCCGAGAAATGTGTCACAAAAAATTCGATTTTGAGTGCTAGAAAAATACACAAAAATTAAAAAAATTTAATTGAAGCGGCATATTTTTTGAGCGACAAGCTTTGGGGCCCGGTAGAAATCACAGCAGTGATGAGCTAAAATTTGTGACTTTGTTAGAATACGGCTGTAAGTTACAACCAAAGCAATTCATAGTCGCCTTAGTTTCGACTTTTCTGGCTAAGTACCAACTTAAACTTTAGTTTCGGCTGCAATTGCAATTAAGTCGTAACTAGGATGAAGTATTTTATTAAATTAAGGAAAAAAAGACGAAATATGTAAAAATTAATTTGGCAGAGCGTGACTGATAATATTGAATGATCTCCAATTGAAATTTACAAAGAGCGATCCATTTAAATCGGAAGATGAAATTAAATGCGTATTACAATTCGAATGAGGCTGCATCACAATTTTATAATTGGAATGATTCACATATATAAATGCTCAAATTATAAGTCAATTTCATGCTTGTTCTTTTAAAGCAAATTAGTACATGACATTTAGATATGTGTTTGTATGTTTCACAGCATGCTTTCGATAAGCATCGACTTCACATCATTGCGGTAGTTCAGGCTATTTCACACAATTAACAAGAAACTTATACCTTACTCTTTTGCATAAACATGCAATGAAAGTAAAAATTACATAAACGGATGATCATACTTGATACTATTTAAAAAAATGTAATTTTACCAAAATATCGTAAAGAAAAATCGATACATTTTCACACTCGTTTTGCAATATCGTAAAACTAAGTTGAAACTACTTAGAATAAGTCTGAAATGCGACTATGAATAGAAGTGAATCTTAAGTTGGTACTTAAATTTAAGTTGCAACTTTATTAGTTTCGACTTACAGCCCTATTCTGTTGCCCTCACAAAAATCTCCACACTCACTGTTGTGAGGTTTCTGACTATTGTGAGGTTATCCCTATGCTGGCGTAAATTCGAAAGCTCATACGCTCACAATTGTGAGAAAATTTATGATGATGAGACCCTCACAAGAGAAAAACAGCCGATTTTTTTGAGCAAATGTTTTGTTAATTTTCGTTCGCTATCAGTGTCTGTGTTATTTTTTTTTTAACTAAAATATATTCAGTAATGGCAGTTATTTCTTGTTTTTTCGGCAGTTTCGGAAGAGCTAGAGCAGGCATGGGATTTCATTTCCATACAAACTTTTGCACCAAGTTGTGGATTGCAAACTGTGTGAAGTACTGGAGCTACTCCTGCTTTGTTATTTATGTTATGTTTAAGCGGCTGGACGATTCAACTGCAAGTCTCGGAGTCGACCTTCCAACTTACCCATCTTAGCCTCGACTTTGTCCTGTCTTTCCTCGATTTTTTCCTGTATTTGTGCAATCTTTGCATCCTGTGCTTCCAGTTGGGATGACATCTGCGCTGATACCGCTGATGATATACGTGTCTCCAGCGCTTGTATCTGCGATCTGACATCTGACGACAACTACGACCTTTGTGCTTCAAGCTGTGCTTCCAGCTGCGATGACATGCGTGTTTCCTGCATTTGCAGGTGGGATGAAATCTGTGGCATGGCAGCCAATAACGTGTCCATATCCATAGCTGTTGATGACGAAGGAGCCTTTTGCTGTTCTTCAACCTCCCCAGATGTCGCTGCACATCCTTCGACGAACAAGCGGCCTCATCCTTTGCGGATGCATCGTCGAGTTCACCCTGGAGGTCGTATTTGTCCACGTCGATGCCTTCTGCTTCCATAGCTTCTCGCAACCGGGATAACAATTTCACTTTTCTTCCGGAGGTGGCCAAGTTATGCTTTTCCAACTCCTGTTTCAGCTCCTCAATCTTTAAGTCCTGAATTTTCGCCATATTCAGTAGTTTATCCTTCGGGATTCATTTAACAATCCCACTTCTGACACCAATTGTTACGATTATCCTTGGTAACTGTTGCGCTTGCACCTTCTGAACGCGTTGTTTTGCACTTCTGATCAACTGAACAGTTTCGTGTTAGATAATCGTAATATTTTTATGATCATTTAAGACAACAATTTGTGTGTTTTGAATTTGACAGCTAATGTATCAAGCCGTTCAGAAGGCGCATTATGATCACTGATTTTTTTAGCAACGGTTGCGCTCAACTTCTGCGCCTTCTGAACCTACCCCTTGAAACTCCATGATGCAATAATACAAGGTGGTATCAGTTGTGACAGCTTGATTTGACACTGCCTTAGCTCAGTTGAATAAGAAGAAAAACGGGAAGAAATGAGTCCCCATTTGGGGGAAAAATATAAAATTTTATATTTTCTTCTAAACAAAATTTGCTTTTTTATAGCATATTCGCAATGAAATGAAATAAAAAAAGATATAATACCTCTTTGAGAAAACAAAATATGTATACTGAGAAAAAAAACTATATTACTATACTAAGCAAAGAATTGTCAAGGAAGTAACACTGTTTCAGCTAAGGCAGTCGATATGGCGGAAATAGAACGAGAAGTTGCCAACCGATAACACCTTGTATTATTGCATCATGTTGAAACTCGTCCGGATTACCATGGAGTAATGAACTGAAGGTGGCACATTCCCGAAACAAACTTTTTGTTTATAAACAAGTGCAAACGTATTGTGTACTTTCAAGTGAAAAATCGAAGTAATTCGTGCGTTCTGAAGTTAAAAACGTTTTATTTGTAATAAAAACTTTATAAAAATGTCGTGTCGTGTGTTGAATTGCAGCAGCCGTAGGGCCAAAGGCCCCAAATGCATTTTTTTTGTTTCCCCGCGACGACGCCTTGGCCAGAAAGTGGGTAGAGTTCTGCCGGCAGGAGATGCCATACAATTTAGACACCAGCGTAATATGCATGAAGCACTTTACGGACCACTTACCACTTTTAAACACGACATGTTAAGTTGAAAACGTTGAAATACCACAAATTACAAATTAAAATCGGAGGTAAGCAAGCATCGACCACTTTCTGCAGGAAAACATGCGCTGCGACAAGATATTCAGCCTCATTGCGTATGTCGTAAATTAGGCTAAATGGTATGACCCGACAACATTGCCATTGTCTAGTGTCGTGCTGAAATAAGTAAACGACGAAAATCGTCGAAAACTACGCAGTGCTGCCAAATTTTCATTCTTATATATTCTTGTATATATTCTTTGTTTACCCATTGCCACAAATGTCATTCTGCGGCATGGTGAAATGAACTGAAGGTGGCGCATTCCCGAAAGCGCTACTTTGGTTTTGCCGAGTTTGACATTTATGGCAATACGCAAACAAACTTTTTGTTTAGAAACAAGTGCAAACGTATTGTGTACTTTCAAGTGAAAAATCGAAGTAATTCGTGCGTTCTGAAGTAAAAAAAGTTTTATTTGTAATAAAAACTTTATAAAAATGTCGTGTCGTGTGTTGAATTGCAGCAGGCGTAGGGGTAAAGCCCCCAAATGCAGTCGAGTGTAAACTTTAGGCAATGACGTGAAAAATTCGATACGATTCGACTCTCGAAAAACGACTTACGTTCGAAACGACTCTTGCAATGAGGGTGATTATCACTTTTTCTGCTCCTGCAATACAAACAAAAAATTCTAAATAGTTAATTAATACGACCTATTCTTTTGAACACATTTCAAGAGTGGTTATATATTTTTTGTTAACGTAGTGCTTAATTTGCTATATTCAAAGATGGCTTGAGAAATTGGTGAATCGAGAAGAAAACACGTTTTCTCACTGCAAATTCACAACTGTCAACTCATTGTTCTTCGCCATATTCTTTGTTTACCCGTTGCCACAAATGTCATTCTGCGAGAATGCGCAATCTTGTATTCTATTGGGGTGTTCACAGTTCGTTCCAAATAGTGTCTCAAAATGTAGACGTCTACATTTTAAGACGTTTTCTAACCGTAAAATCTGTGGTGTTTTTGTTTCCCATACAAAATTGGAAAACGACGCCGTCTACATTTTGTCACACTCAAAGGTATGTTTTTTACGCGTCTACATTTTGCAACCTCGCAGCAGGGTTGCATTATGGCAATACTAATCACATTTTTTTTATTTATTGGGCACGTTTTCCGTATTTGCATTTAATTTGAGCGCAATTTCTGATGAAAAGAAACAAATCAAGGAAAAGGAATAACAAATATTACGAATTGGTAATTAAGTTAAATAATTACAATTTTTCAGAAACAAAATCGAAAGGCGACATATAAACAATGCACGCAAACAAGAAATGTCTGGCAACACCAGCAAAGTTTTGAGACGATTTTGCGACGACTGCTAGAAAGGGGTGCTCACAGTTTGATGCTAAAAATGTCTCAAAATGTAGACGTCTACATTTTCAGACACAATTTGGAACGAACTGTGAACACCCCATATCATTCTTGATTCTGCGGGAATGCGCAATCTTGAATTCTATCGTTCTTGCCGGATTTCCCAAATACTTCGGTTCGTATCGCTGGATTGTTAAATAAATGCTCACGATGACCAAATTGTAGTACAATTAATTTTATTGTACAACAAACAATTTACAATACTTGCTAATACCGTAAAAACACTTTACAATACTCGTAAAAGGAACTCCTCAACTCCGCTGTGTCGTGGCGCTTATATACCTGTGCTCGCACTCATGGCAACTCTCGAACGTTCTGAAGTTCATCGCTCATTCTCTTTCGCTCGCTGTTCGCAGTGTTCTTCCAACTTGACGTTTCTCTTTGTGGAACATTCTACGTCATTCCCCGAACATTCTGCCTATTTGTCGTTGTTCGCTTTGTGTTGCCGCAGTATTCGTCACAATACGAACTCAGGACTTGGTTCAAAATTATCGATACCAAAATTACTTGGTATCGAACGAAAAGTATCGAGCATGTACTTGTATTTACTCTTATCGTTTCATTCCTAATTATATGCAAAACAGCTGTAGATAAATGGAGATGCGACGTTTGCATAGTTGATTTTGTAGCACATATTTTATTAAAAACAACACGATTTTCGGAAAGCCGCTAAAAGTTCAATCAAGGGCTAAAAATTATTACTAAATTGTACATTTTACCAGGTCAAATATATCTGCTTATATGTATAAGGTGGTAAGTATAAGATGGCTAAACCGTGCAAATTATGCCTTGCCGCGGTGAAAACAAAATTAATCATATTAGTTTACCTGAAAATTTCGTGTGTTTACATACTGATATATGTACATATGTATGTTTTGGACTAAAACAAATATTCATTGCGGTAAAGCGTATGTGTGTGTACATAAGTTTTCTGTTAATAATTTAAAATTTAATAACAATAATTTTCACCTAAAGCTGTAGCATATTTTATTGGAGCTAGTGCTACCAAATGAAAAACCTGTAACATTTCAAACTACGAATCCCATATACGAATGCGGCGGGTATGTAGCGCTGTCGGCGAAATGACTCCCCCAATTGGACACGTTTAATTTTGGTAGTGGAGCGTGAAGTTCTAAGCACTTTAACTGAAGGTTGTGTGGATTATAGTCACTGGAAGTATTGCCAGTATGGTCAGCAAGTGGAGGGGCTGCTTGAGCCTATAATTGAAATTAAAATTGCCTACGGAGCTACGGAAACTCATTCGTATACATATTGTACAGAAGAGGTAAGTGACGATTTTGATAAAATGGTTTATTTTAATTGCGGAACAACCGTTCAGCTATGGGAAAACTAAAAATGCAGACCAATAGTACTTTTTACGCTGATTTCAACTATATAAATATTATTTGGCGCAATTGAAAAGTAGAGAAGATATGAGGTTAAATTTTTTTTCTAAATATTAAAATATTAATATTTTCTAAACTACGTAAGCGATTGAAAAAGTAATGATTCCAAAATAAAACCAAGTAATCTATCTCCAAGCTGATAATGATTCAATTATTAATGGTTTTGTAAGTAGCTATTTTTGACCCACCCACAGGGATGGTTTTTGGAAGCAGGAGAAAAAGGAAAGAATTCAATCACACTTCCTGAATGGTAGCGAAATTCTACAAAAAGGCATGGATAATGGTGCATCGTGGTGTTTTAATACAAAACCGAATTTGATTTAATTATTTACATCGAATATAACCCCTGACTGTTATTAAAAATAAATTTTGCTATGAATATACCAAAGTTGCGTACGTCAGACGGCACATAACTCAAGATGGATGGTCCTCTTGAGCAATTTTTTTATTGTTTGTCAGCTTTGTAAATTCTCTGCGGTACTTTTTACATAAGATGGATATGAAGAACCTATTTGTTTGT